AACGTCTGAAGACATTGGAGAAAATACCCAACCGTCAGAAGGATTGCCGTCTAAAACCCTAAAAAACTTAAAACCGACGCCGCCGGTACGCTCCTTAACGTGCGGGATCTCGCGGTTCACTTGATCCGCCGTATAGAATTTGGATTTAAAATTATTATAATCGCTTTAAAAGTAGGGATATATCCCGCTATTCTTGATCTAATGATTTGAAGTTTTAACTATTGAGTGTAATATATAGATATATAATATTATTTTTTAAAATATTTAATTATTTTTGTGCTGTATTTGCCCCCCTCCCTCAAAATTGAAGTTGGTTCCGCCCCGTCTACTACCAAATATAATTGGAGTTGATTAGTAAAACAATAAATATAAAATGCTTGAGGATTATCATTTAGAGTAAATACCTTCAAACAATAGAATTTCCCTCACATATCAGATTCCCCATCATAAACTTGACCGTGTATCCTCTGCATGCTCAACGAGTGTTTGGTGAGTATATCTTTAATGGTTGCATTCAGTGTAACTGTATTAGTGGATGTGACATGTTTAATGTTTATAAATATTTCAATGACTTGACTAACTTATTAATATATCTCATCGTAATAGCTAATTGTTCTTTCGTAGAAACATCACGGGATTCATCAACTATAATTGAGAAGTATGAGTCACCAATAACTTTTATGATAGATATTAATGTTTCGATAGCTATAGCATGACATATAGGTGAAGTTAACTTAAGATTTGTGTATGCATATACAAATGTCACTATTTTAATTTCTTCATTATGATTAGCAAAAAAATCAACTAGCTCTAAATAATTTTTTCGGTTATCTGAATTGGATGATTCATCGTGTCGACGGAATGATAAACCTTGACATAGTAGAAATCAAACATAATAAATTGTTGCAGTCAATATGATCTTATAATCATTTTTGCTCTTATCACCTTTGCTTAACCATAAAACTGGTAGACTATGTTCTTGGTTTTTTATTAAATCTTCATATTTTTGTCTAGCCTTATTATGTATACTATTATGCTCTCCAATGTGACTTGAAAATTTTTCTTTCTTCTTCTAATTTTGTAACCATTCTCCAACAAATGAGTTCTCACCATCTTGGCCTTTAATAATTTGTTCCTAGGGTTTAAATATATAATAGCAAATATAAAAAATAGCATATTTCTATACACTGTACTCTAACCAATCAACATACTTATCAAACAATTTTGGATTAAATATCTATGCAATATTTTCAAATAAAGTATAGGGGAATTGATGGTGTCTCTTCAATAGATATGTTATATGAATCTTATCTCTATCATTTACATCATAACTCCAAATTAAAAATCGGAGTCCAGGATTTGTTGGGAGATTACTAATATTAATTTATATATGCTCTTTCCTATTTAAATAACATTCCATTTATTTAACTAAGGAATGACATCTGTCTATCAAAAATTAAACATCAAAATCATTTTATTATTATAATGACCAACGTATATTATGTGAAAAGTTAATAGTAAACCACATATCAAACAAAATGTGCAAACAAATTAAGTGTTACACAACCAGTACAAATTAAGTGCTCTTCAACAAATGAATTTATAAAAATTTTCATGTTAAACCATATGTGAAAGTCCTCCCTACTACTATTAGGAATCTAGCTTTACATATACAATATTTTTAGGTAGAAAAATATAATGAAATAATTATGTAAGTCATACTTGCATTTTACTGATGATTTATTTTTCAAGGTGCACGAAGAGATTAAAAAAAGATGCAAACATAAAAATGTAAACAAGAAGAAGAGAACTAACAAGATTTCTCACCTCTATCAAAAAATTAGAAGCCCTGAAGATATCGAGCAAAATCCTAAAGCTCGATCGATATTAGCTACTCTAAGGCAAGGATCAAAGGATAAGGAATGATTTTTTTTTTTTACAAAGATTTCATAATTAATTAATTCATTCCATAAATAGAAGAGAACAATTAAAAAAGAGCAGTCTATCGATTACTAAAGCGGGTAATAGGAGAAACCAAAGAAAATGGAGCCATCGGCTCGTCGCCTCCTACAGGTGATCAAACGGAGCTTTGACACTGTAATAGTTCAAACTCTTAACTATCAAGGTATTTTCTATTTTGGCCTAAGAGCCTGACAGTTTTATCATATTTGTGTAACTTTTCAGTGGGTTACCCTTCCTAGAATTACTCCGGGATGAGCACGCTTTACTATATAGTTTCTTAATAAAATTCTAACCATTACACCAGAAGGCACCTCGATGTTTAAGAGTTTATCTTCTTTTACTTAAGAGATTTTATAATTGAACAACCTTAAGAAAAATGTTATCATCGACATTCCCAAAACAGAATAAGTCAGAATAAACATGGATACAACAGCCTAATCTCAAAATCATTCTCCCAAGTAGCTTCTCCGACAGTTCTATGCTTCCACTGCACTTTAACCTTAAGAATCCATTTGCTACTCAATTTTCTCATATCAGTTATATACAAAATTCTTCAAATGCGAGTTCTGGCTGAGAAGTATTTTTTTTCTTGGACACGTGGTGAGTAGTGACGGTATGTATGTTAATCCCCCAAAAAGTTTAGGTAATAACTAATTGGATGAGATCTACTATTGTGTTTGAGATACGTAGTTTCTTGAGTATGACTAGATATTACAGCAAGTTTGTGAAAGAATTTTTTCAAATTTATGCACCTCTGATGAGTTTATTTTTAGAATTTGAATATTTTAGTAGCTATGTAATATGTAATTTATTTTAATGAATATTTGTAAAAAAATCTAAAATAATTTTAAAATTAGATCTTAGTATTTGCCTATCATAGCTCAACAAGATATGATATGTCCTGATCGGGTTGGGTTGTGACAAACTTTTATGGTATTAGAGTTGTAAAACTCCTTAAGTAAAAGAAACTAAACTCTTAAACTTTGAGGCATATTTTTGATGTAATGGTTGGAATTTAATTAAGAAATCCCGTAGTTAAGCATGCTCATCTTGGAATAATTTTGGAATGGGTGACCCATTAGAAAGTTACACTAACATGCAAAACCATGAGGCTCTTAGGCCTAAGCAGACAATATCTCGATAGTTAAAAGTTTGGACTATTACATATACAAATGAAAACAATCGTGCAAGAGGATTCGGAAGTCATGAGACTTACGACGATAGATTTTGATCGAAGAGGGGAGTGCCGCAGGCACGAGCAGAGTCTTGGCTGAATTTGGATGAAAATACGTGAGAAAGATGGACTAGGGAAAATTTTAACATAGTGGATTGACAAATTGCTAAATAACTCTAGCTCTAATAAGTATTTTACAACTTTTAAAGAGAGGGGGGGGGGGGGGGGGTGCCCCCCGGGGGGGGGGGGGGTTCCGCCCATGGTTACTAATGACTGTGTAAACTAAATTTTATAAAAATATAACAGTATTCTAGTTTAAAAATAATGACTAACCTAGTTTTATACTAAATTTATATAATCGTAGGCAGTATAAAAATTAAAAAAGGGGTTTTTACATACATAACATTTAAAAGTTGTCTTATTTACTCATATAACACCTAAAATTATCTATTTACACATCTACCACTTAAAACGTACTTGACTTTCTAAAATACCATTCCATCATCTTCTCCGTCAAAACCCCACCCGATAACAACGGCATCCTCCGGCTCACTAATGATACTTGCCGTCTCATCGGCCACGCATTCTACCCCTTCCCCTTCCCCTTCCGTTTCAAGAACTCCACTGATGGTTCCCTCTTCTCCTTCTCTACCACCTTCGCCGTCGCCATCATTCCGGAATATCCCAAGCTCGGCGGCCATGGCCTCGCCTTCACCATGGCCAACTCCAATTAACTTCTTGATGCCCTCCCTAGCCAATACCTCGGCCTCCTGAACGCCAAAAATATTGGCAACGCCTCCAACCACCTATTTGTCGTCGAATTTGATACTGTGAAGGACTTTGAGTTCGGGGACATCAATACAACAATGTCGGAATTGGTCTCAAAAATCTAGCCTCTAATAAATCCATTCCTGCCCCTGCTCGTCAGTTCTCATTATTTATTTGGCTAGAACTTTAAGATGAACGGGTTGGCCAAATTCCTAGATCTCTCCTCTCTTCCATCAGTTTCGAAGCCCAAGAAGAAAAACTATGCCTTGCTCATTGCAGCCCCTGTTTCCTGAAGAAAAACTACGCCTTGCTCATTACATGAAAAAAATCGCAGATGTCATCGAGGATTGGGAGTTAGTTACGGGCCCACATCATTTTTCCTGCAAGGAGCTCAAGTATGCCACCATGAGTTTCAGAGAGAAAGAGCTTCGGGTACAGGGTGGGTTCGACAAAGTTTACAGAGGAGTTCTTCCATGTACAAAGAAATGGGGAGTTGCCGAGAAAAGAAGCCAGTGTCGTCGGCAACGATTGGAGTTTTGACGGAGAGGAATGGTATTTTTGAAAGTAAAATAAGTTTTAAGTGGTAGGTGTGTAAATAGACAACTTTAGATGTTAAATGGGTAAATAAAAAAATTTTAAGTGTCATGTATGTAAAAATCCCTTAAAAAATTTATAAAAATGTAGCAGTAGCCTAATGCCGCAATTTTAATTAAATTAGTTAAGTAAAAGAAATATTTTTTTGGCTGCATAGCCTCAATAGATTGCCTATATTATTGTAGCAATAAAATTTATTTATAAATTTTATTACATTTATATGGTAGCACTAAAAAATTATTGAGTTATGACTCCCTAGTCTTACTTGTAGCAATAAAAATTATTAATTAATAATTAAATTTATTCATCTAAAAAATAAAAGAACAATTTTTTAATTTATTTTTACGTTAAAATTTTTTTTATGTTGATTGAATTAGCAAGTCGTCTGATGGATGACTTTGACTAATTTTAATTTTTTATTTAAAATGCTTAATTATATAATTAAAATTTTAATAAAATCTATTTTAAAAATTTACCCATTTGTTTGCGACCGCACGTTGATTCTATACGCAACGGCGCCTACGAAGAGCTCGCCTGCTCGCTCAGGGTTTCACGCGCTTTCCTCCGCCTATTTATGTGAGCGCGCGCGAGGTTTCTCACTCCCTCGCTTTCTCTCTCTGTTTCTGAAGATCGGAGCGAGCGAGCTAAAACCCTAGATATTTTTCTATTTTTGTTGCGGTGAAATAGGTATTACTTCTGGGACGTGATCGAACTTGGTGCTATTTGAAGTTCATTTAGCAGCATTAGTTTCGATTACCTTCTCAGGTTATTATTATTATTATTTTTCTTAATATAGGTTTTTTCCTGTACGATTTCTTTCATTCAAAATCCTGATTCTGAGTTATGATCTTTTGCTATTTGGCTACAAGCAGGATTTAGCAAATTTTGCTTTTAATCAGTAATATGAATGAAATGGTTTGCCCAAATAATAAGATTTAAAATCTTTAAATTTTTATTTGGTAGGATTTATGTTAAATCTAGCTTAATTCAAATATAAAATAGAATTACCAAACAGAACATTGGATGTCCAGAGTGTTTTTTTAGTGAAAATTCTATCAGTTTTGCTATTGCTGCTGATCACTGATTCAGGTCTTTCGTAGTTTTTGCCCAATTTATTCTTATTTAGTGTTTTTTCATTTGTTTTTTTAATTTACCTTAGTTTTTTATTTAGTTTTTAGCTTTTTGAGACGGCTGTAAACATGAATTGGAGGATCACCAATACATGGTTTTGATCCTGTTTTATAAATGAGAGTGTTTCCATTTACAGATGCACTGGATTTTGGTCTTAATTATGATAAAGAAAGCTTGTTATTCATGTGGGTTGGCTGACCTGCCGCCTTAGCAAGTGTTACACTATAGGCGCGTCATTGGATAATTGTGCTAATATTACTTTGTAGTTGTGTCCGTATCTCTTTGGTTCACATTTCTAATAAGATGTGAAAGGACCGTTGGCCAATTTGTAAAAGGAGATGTTTGTATCACTAAGGTCATGAATTTGAGCCACATATTTTGTGAGTTATCACTTGGCACAATAAAAAGAAGAAGAAGTCGAATGAGATGAAATACTGAAGTGATGCATTTAGATGCTAAGCTTTTGCCTCATTTACACCAATGGAATACACATTAAGAATATTCTATAGGCATAGGTTCATCAGCATCATTATTGAAGGCTAGCACCAAATGACCATTCCCATCACACTAAAAAATATGGTAATTCTTTTTATTTTATTTTGCTGATGAAGTATTGACAATTGGCTAAATCGATTGCAGGCATCGTAATACCCCAACCTTCCCTACTGCATAAGTTTGCTTTATGGAATAACAGTTCCATGGGCCTTCCAATGAGCTTTATGCTGAGGAATTATGAATATCAATGACAATATTGGGATAAAGGCTTGATGATGATGATGTTGTTGTTGTTGTTCTAATGACAATGTTGAGGTATGGGGTGGCAAACTTGATTTCTCTTCTGAATGGAAACCCAATTATATGTAGGATTACATTTTTTGAAAAGATAGGATTATGAATGTTTACTTTCGAGCACTTTTTTGTCTTGGCATTTATCAATAATCCTTAGAACATGAAGTATGAGCATATTTCTTTCAAATTCTCGTGGTTCTATTTTATGCATTTCGGTACTTTTTCTTTCTTTATTGAAACATGCATATGAAACGTTAACTTGGAGTGGAACTTGATGGACCTCAAAGGCAGAGTGAATAATTCTCCGCTGGTTAAGGCTATAAGATCTTCTTGGTGCAATATCCTTGCTAGTTCTCTCATGATTTAATATATAGGATTGTTAGTATTTATCTATGATGCACAGACACGGACACGACGACACAAATACGACACGACACGGACACGTGACATGTCAGTTATTGAAAATATAGGACACGGACACGGGTTGGACACGGTATTATAGTTTTTTTATTTAAAAAATAGTTTATAAAAATTAAATAGGTATAATTTTAAAAATAATTTGAAAATAATACGCCATTTAACTAGAATTTGTGCTTAAAATAATTAGTATTAGGATGTCGAGAGTCAGACGTCGATTCCATTTATCAGTCATCGAGAGAGGAGATGAAAATACCTTCACTGTCAAAAAGAAATGAAAATGAGAATATTCGATGATTGGGTATTAAGTGCGGACGTTGATTTGGTGTTGTGGATAGGAAATAAGAAATTTATTTTAAATCACGCCAAATACAAGAAATTATATTTTAAAAAAATTATAAAATATTTAAGATACGGTGACACGCGTGTCCAATTTGTATTTAATATTTTTTATTGGATACGTTTTCGGCGTGTCCGACATGTGTCGGAGGAGTGTCGTGTCGGATACAGTGTCTGATACTGCACGCCTCTTTGAGGAGAAGTGTCGGTGCATCATAGGTATTTATAGAATGTATCATGCTATAGTGGTTCTCTTAGAGTTTTTAGGAATTTCTTATTGGTCCAAAAGTGCATTTTTTTTCATCTTCTTTATTTTTCACCAATAATTTTGGTTATAACCAAAGTCATTAAAACCAGACCAGAATCAGTTGAACTGTGAACTGGCCAACCAGCCAGTTCGATACGTATACAAAATCTAAATTGCAAAGAATCGCTCAAGAACCACTCCGATCGACTATCAAATCGGTGAACTGAAGAATCGGCGCCGGTTTTCAAAACTGTGCAGTTTATGCAGAGCAAAATCTGAGCCATTGGTATTTGATCAAGCGGTCTAAATTAAAAAAAAAAAAAAAAAAAAAAAAAAAAAAAAAAAAAAACCTAAATTCATATTCCAATCCTGTAAGGCCCTTATTTCGTTCGAATGAAGCTCCTTGCTTCTGTTCCTTCTCTCTGCTCGGCATCCCCTTTTCATTCGCAAGCTCGACGAGTGGATACAAGCCTCAAATCGGTGAAGCTCCTCCCCAGCACGGGCATTGTTTCTCTCATGTTCCTTCCTCACTGCTCGACATCCCCTCTTCTTAAGATTTTTGTAAACCTAATTTTTATGTTGTGTGATAATTCATTAATTAGTTTTCATTTGGATCCTCAATTTTCTATCCCTTCTATGTGATTTGGTGGTTGCATTTTGAAGCAAAAAATGAAAATTCTCCTCATATCTCTCTCATATTCAAGGTGAAAGCCTTAGAGCTTCATCTTGTACAAAAAACAATTGATTTTTCTCCTTTCTCCAAGCAAATCCCTACACTTTCTCTTGCAAATATTCTGCATCAAACCAAATGTAGGTCTCTCATATTTATACTGATATTTTTAAGGTTAAATCCATTCATCATTTGTAAGTAAGTTGGTTTTAATTTTCTTAGATTTAGTTTACATACTTTCTTATATTATTTTAAAAAAATATCAGATGTTGTTTAAATTATGTTCCCTATGCTAAAAAAATCTTATTTGTTGAAACTAAATTGCATATTTGAAGAAGTTAAATATATTAATATGTTATGCTTATTTACTTTATATTAGGTGTACAATTATAATAACTATCTTATATTTATTTTATTTTGAGAGCTTCACCAATTGGAGGTAGAAATTATAAGATCTCAAGAGAAATTTCAATTTTTTCCCTCAAGTTATGACTACAAAGATGTTAGTTATTCAAAACATAAATGTATTTAATTTTAAACTTACTGAATTTATTTATTATGTTTTCTTATGCCTCATGACCCCAAATAGTGGGATAAAAGCTTATTGTTGTAGTTGTTATTTTATACCTCATTTCATGATTATGTTTATTTCTTTATTATATGTTTACAAATGATTGTGTTATTATTATAATATTTAAATATAATAAATATTTATTATGTCATCTGGTCGTTAAACCGTTAACCTCTTTTTCTTCCGGTTCGTTATCCGATCCGATTTTCACATCCTTGGCTACAACCACACTACAGAAGACCGAGAATATTTGTTTCCTTCTTCCTCCACTTGATTCTTGGCTGTGGATCTTAAGAAGCGCACGCAAGGCTTTTATTTTAAAGTTTATAGTCAAGGTTATTCATAGCTGTTCCTACGTCCTCAAAGAATTATATATTTGGAATTTGGACAGCTATTGGTAGACCTATTTTTCAGGTGCTGGGTTTCAGTCAGTAATCTCGGATTCCATGGGACCAAGAAACTTCAATTATTATTTTTTTAATTTTTCTTATCCCAGAAAGCAGGTTTTAATGAGATGGTTCGATCATTGCCATTTCTTGAATTTTTGTTTGTAGACCAAACAGATAATCTTAATACCACCGGAAACTTGCTGATATTTTGTGTTTTTTCCTTCTATTGTGCGGCGCTCTTTGTTAAATTGCATTGATCTCTAATGCTTGCTTGAAATGTTTTATCAGGGTACACATCATTTGTTCGGTGATTTGAAGAATTTTTATTTTATTCTCTGTCTAGTTTCTATGATTTCTACTTACATTTCTGATATCTTTATTATGCTGAGCTACTTCTTCTTCCATGGAGATCAGTTAAGTCGATTTCATTTACATTTTGTAGTGTACTAATCATTCTCTTTGGTTTGTTAGGAATAATTGTCTTGTTTGATGTTTCTATCATGGCTACCATACGGCAATGCATCAGAAGCCGTGAACTTATTTCTTGGATATATTACTTGCAGTTTTTTTTAAGACTTTGGGAATGGATCGTCATGAGGCAGCAGGTTTCTTAAGTAGAGGCTATAAACACTATTTTTAAGCCTTCTTCCCCATCAGCGAGTGACATTTTGGTTGAATTACTGGCTTGTTTTTGGTTGAAGTGATCGCTGTACTTTTCAGTGTTGGTAATGAGTAACATTTCTAAGCACTTGGGACTTGCTGGCAATGCGGCATCTCTAAATAGTCCTGAAAAATGGATCAATTTTCAGTCGGAGGTTGGATCTCAAACACTCACTAAAGTGCGACTTTTCTCCTTCGGCCCCTCTAATGAAGGGACAAAGAGGAAGCGGAAGGATATTGATGGAGATACGGTTTCAGGCCGTGCCCCACTGGTGCCAGTTTTGCCATATTCACCGAATCCCCCGGAGAGCAGTAACAAGAACAGCTCAACTTTGAGCTTGGCCTTTTCACCCTATGTGGCTGATGAAGAATTCTCTGTGAATCAAGACTTGAACTTACAACTTAAACATATCTCACGCAATATGGTTAGTAAACCCTCCGTTAATCTTGAGTTAAGTCTATCTTTTGGACCAGCAATATCAGCTATTACAAGTGAAGTTGAAACCCCTGTGCCTGGATTCTACATGGCTCATGGTGGAGGACAAAGATGTCAAAATGGAGCTGAAGGAAAGACCACGCACTTTCAGTTGCATGGAGGTGGCAGACATGGTGAGCGTGGTCGCCATTGCAGAGAAGTTGGATGCACTAAAGTTTCAAGAGGTAAGTCTGGATTTTGCATTAAACATGGAGGTGGCAGGAGGTGCAAAAAGGAGGAGTGCACTAACGGTGCCGCCGGTGGATCTGGTTTTTGCATTGCACATGGTGGAGGCCGGCGTTGCTGTACACCGGAATGCACAAAGGGTGCACAGGGCAGCACCAAGTTTTGTAAAGCTCACGGTGGGGGGAAGAGATGCAGTATTTCGAGCTGCGGCAAAGGTGCAGAAGGTAGCACACCCTTCTGTAAACGCCATGGCGGAGGGAAGCGTTGCTTGTTCCAAGGCGGCGGTAATAAGTGTTCTAAGAGTGTGCGCGGCGGGACTCAATTCTGTGTTGCCCATGGCGGGGGGAAGAGGTGCGCTAATCCGGGATGCCGTAAGAGCGCGCGTGGCCGAACGGATTACTGTGTCCGCCATGGAGGAGGGAAAAGATGCCAGCTTGACGGGTGTGGTAAGAGTGCCCAGGGCAGCACTGATTTCTGCAAGGCTCATGGTGGCGGTAGAAGGTGCTCATGGGTTGTTTCCGATGGGACCTCATGCAACCGGCTTTCCAGCGGCAAGGTTGGCCTTTGTGCTGCTCATAGCGCTCTGGTGCAAGACCTCCGGGTTCATGGCGGTGAGACCATGGGAAGTCCCGCCTCTCAGAAACCAGCTGGTGACGATTCTTGTTTATTTATTATTCCGGCGAAGCCTGAAGGGGTTTCTCTTACAGAAGGGACGGTTCATGGTGGAAGCCTGATGGAATTTCTAGCGAAGGGAGTTCCCCTAAACCAGCATGAGAACCGGGCTGAAGAGGGCAGCACTTATGAACGAGAATCATCTCATACCACTATGGATGCTTTTAAGCAATTAAGCTTATGTCCTGGATTTATTTATAAATCTGGGTTCTGAATGTGTTTTCAACGGCTACTTTCTTTTGCTGATGGCAAGTATGTTCTCTTATCAATTACTTTGCTTGTTAATATCTTATTAAAGTATGGGATCTAAGGACTTTTGCAATTTTTCTTCTTCTTTTTTTTTTTCTTGGACTATGTAATTGTACTTATGAGGAGCTTTTCAATGTATATATTGTACATATTTGAACATGTACTTTTGTTTGTTTCTTACAACTATATGATTTTCTCCGACACGGCTCAACTTGGCATGTTGGTTGAGAGCTTAGGCTTCCAACTAAGAGGTCTTGGGTTCGAGTCTTTGTGTTTTCGTTGTGTGTGTGAGTTTGTCTGAAATGGCCTAAATGTCCCAAAAAAAAAAATTTCTCTGCGAAACCATAAACTAACTCTGCTCCAGGTTCCTCTTCCATGGAACCTCTTCTGAAAGGAAACTCCAGTTTATTGTTTGGAGTACTATCTGCTTACTAACTAGGCTTGGTGGGTTAGAGATCCCTGACATACGTTCCCTTTATCATGGTTATGGATGCACCTTCATTTGACGAATGTTTAATGCAGACTCCTTAGTGGTTGATTGGCTGAGATCCAAATTCGTCTCACCCTGAAAACCCCCTCCTAAAGCTTTCAAATTTTTGAAAATTTATTTGTAGCATTGTTGTACTTATTAAACATAATATTAAGCTTCATGTGGCTACTGAAAATTGCAAGCTTTCTATGTACTGGGACCCTTGGGTCAATGGTTTGGTGGTTTTAGATTTCCTTCAGCAACCTCCTCCTGGCTTTGTTGTTGTGCAAGATTTTATATCCCTTGGTTGCTGGAGGCATCATAACTCTTTGCCTCATTATGTTATCAATAAAATATCTTCTGTTATGATTCTGGATTGCATTGCTGATATCATTACTTGGAATGGGAATGACAAGTCTATTTTCAAAACCTTCAGATTACATTATTTTTCTGATTTACAGCAAGTTCTGTGGCACAAATACATTTGGCATAAAAGGTCTGTCCTAAGGTATTCTGTTTTTGCTTGGTTATCAGCTCATGGTGGGTTAAAAATTGCAGATGTGTTAAGCAACATAAACATTCACATTCATCCCACTTGCTCTCTTTGTCTTTTGTAGAATGAAAGTAACATGCATCTTTTGTTTTAGTGTGATTTTTCTTTTATGGTTTTGACTAGCCTTCTACCTTACTTGGATGGTTTCCTCTTCAGGCGTTCGATGTTGCAGCTCTTTGAAATTTTTTATGATATGCAACATTTTAACGCATTTGAAAAGAATTTCTGTTTTTTTGGTTATTTGCTGCTTGGTTTATTTTATCTGGAGGGAAAGGAACGATAGATGTTATGCTGGAATTCAAAGTGTCCCTTTCTCGATTTGTTGCAAAATCAATAAGGCAATCCGAGCAAAGGTCTCTCAATGGAAAAATTATGATTTGTTGCTCTCTTCTTTTCCCCTGTGCCTCAGCAGCAACTTGCATTAGTAACAACTGGCTGGAGTTTTGTTTTCTCTAGGCTATGATGAGTGGAACTGGCCAGTTTATACCCCTTCCCCACTGGATGGCCTCGACACATTGTTATTATTGTTCTGCAATTGGCCTAGCATCTACATGCACCCTGGGAAACTTTGTTTCTTTCTGATATGATGACAACCGGGGGCAATTCCTGTGTTTTTTTTCAATGCCCAATTTGATCGATTCTGGCAATTCCTGAGCCCATAGGTGCCCACCGTCTGCTTTTTGTGGGTTCGTTTTTTATGTTCCTTTTTTAGTTCTTTTTTACTCAGCTCTCAATGTATCTCGAGCTTAGAGTTTGGGTTTCCTTTTTTACTGTTTTTTGGAAATTTCTTTATATTTCATTTTTGAACTCTAGCATTAAGCGTGGTTATTGTAAAACCCAAAAAAATAATGATCTTCAGCGTCGCACGCATTTCGATCACCGCGACGAAATTAAGTAAAATTTCAAAGTCATCAGAATTTGACGCAATAAATTTTATAAAATAGTACACAAAATTCTAAGCAAATCAGTATAAAGAACCCATATTGAATTTCACGTATTTTGGAAGTTAAAATTCGTATAAGTTTCAATATGACGAAATTACCCTTCATGGCATTTAAGTGGAGATAATAATAAGTGAGGGCATTTAAGACCTTTTACTTTGAAACCTATACCCCCACTCTTATTAGGGGACCGAAATACATTCGGTCCCCATTTCTCTCGTGCGGCCGAACCGAACGGAAGGGAGAGCGATGAGGAGAGGCGAACGACAACCTTGGGGCGGTTTCTGATGGCTGATCGTGGAGGAAATAGTATGGAAAGTAGGATAAGGTGAGTTGCTTTCAAAAGATCTCTCATGCTTTTGTAGAGTTTTCCTCAAGAATAAAATCTAGGGTTTGAGGGAAACTTCAAATTTCTTTGAGATAATGATAGGGACAGTTTAGGGGATGACTCTAAGCATAAAGATGAAATGATTTTTAAAAATTTTTTTATTTCAAATATTAGAATTTTCTCTGATTTTGTATCGATTCAAAATGATTTTGTAAGAAAGCTTCCTAATGGCATAAGAAAGCTACTAAAGGAAGATAATTTAATTTCATGATGAAATTTCAAGTTCCTAGAATTAGGGTTTTACAAAATCATGCAAATTTTTAAGTGTCTTGGGTCCAAATAAGTCTGGGAAGGTTTTTAGAGGCAAGAAATTGGGCTTTTGCACAAATGACAATTTTTTTAATTTTTAAATTAGGTAAATCCAAAAATTCGTTGTATTTTAATTAATATTTAAGTGTAAGGTAGGTAGGGGTGTAAACGAGTCGAGTCGAGTTTTGACACTATCAAACTCGGCTCGTTAGTCGGAAAGCGAGCTCGAGCTCAGCTCAAAAGACGAACTCGAGCTCGAGCTCGAGCCGGCTCGCGAGCTGCTTGATTATAATTAGATTTCACATTTTTCTAATTTTTCCCGCCTAATTTTTCATTTTGATGCCTTGTGCGTTTGTATTTCAAAAGTAAAAACTTTAGGATTTTTTTTTAACATGAACCTGCAAGGCTGCAACAACTTTTTTTGGGGAAACTAACTAATATTTTTTATACATATTTTTTAAAAATTTTTCTCATATATTAATGAAGATGAGGTATAGGTTGTCCTATCATATATAGGATGTCCTGTCATATAGGGAATAGTCTTCCTTTTTAAAAAACTATAGGTCGAACTCCTTTTAGCAGATTTTTTTTTTTTAAATAAAAATATGTTCGTTAATTAATTTAATTAATTAAATAATTTCGAGCCGCCTCGCGAGCTCACGAGCCAAGCCTGAACCAGCTCGAACTTGGGCTTGTTTAATAAACGAGCTTGAGTTTGAGCTCGAGCTCGAAGCTCAATAAGCTCGGCTCGTGAGCTCATTAACGAGTCGAGTTCGAGCCGGGTCGGCTCATTTACACCCCTAAAGGTAGGTTCTTTATGCATGTATTATGCTATGTACATGAGTGAGCTTTTCAAAAAGCTAAGATTATATTGAATCCTAATTTAGCAAAAATATGAATGAGATTAATCTTGAATTAAGAAAAGTGTTCAGTTATAAAGCATAAGAATATTGTATAGCTGAGTTTATTATTCACATATATTCGGGTTTTAAGAAGTTTATGTGGGAACAAGTGATGTTTATACGTTATGTTATGTCTGTTTTTTATATTCATCGTCTAAAGGGAGAGCTCATTAGGACTTTCGACAAATCACCGTGGTGAGGTAGATAAAATGAAATTCTTTTAAATTTGGAAAGTTCTTTAAATGCAATCATGTAGAAATATTATTTCTTTTATATGATACTTGTACTTTCTATGTGGCTAGCATGTTCCTACATGAATGCTTCTAAACACATGATGTAAATGCAAATCTCTTTTGTATTGATAGTAGAAAGTGCAAAGCTCGTGTTTCTTTTTACATGTAATACATATGTCTTCTTTTACATGTAGTATATATGATCATCTCTCTCTTTTCTCATGTAATTATATAAACATGTAACATCATATATGAACATATACATGAATGACATGTTAAAGCCTCTTTTATGAATAAATAAGGAATGTTTGTATGTGCATGTTTGATGCGGAGTATCAATGGTAAAAGAGCTCTTTTAAACTAATGGTAAATGGGATCTTTTGAGCCAAATGGTAAAACGTTCTTTAGAACCAAATGATAAAAGAATGGCCAATTAAAAATATACCTGATTAGTATCAAATATACTTTCGCGATGGCTGATTAATATTATGTTATTATGATATCATATCATTATGTTATATGTTTATGAGGCATTAATTGAGTCATGAATGTTTAATAAGAAAGGATTGCAAGCTCGTGTAAAGAAAGAGAACACAAAGATTAAGTTAGAGGCATTTTCACATTAGATAATGTATTATGACATATTGAATGTTTATTTACTTAGAAGTATATACATGTTGTACTTCTTTTCTTGTATCTAAATTTAATTGAATGATATTTTATTTACAAAGTTGTGATTCACCTAATTCATGGAACATTTTTCAGTAGAACCTGATAAGCAAAAATGATGGATAGATGACAGTTTACGTATCATCATAGGGAGACGACGAGCAACAAGGTCTTTTTTATTTTTGACATTTTGAGTTAGAATGATTCATGATGATTTGTAAGGAAAGATTTATGGATATCTTTTTATGTTCTGAACTTCTATGTTTAAGTTGATATTGAATGATAGATGTAAAGAAAGAAAATATTTTACGTGGAATATTTTAGTGACTTTTATATATATATTTGGAGATGTTTTGTTTATGAAATGCAAATATTTTTATTTTTTTCTGTCCGACTTTCATTCCTGTCTTGCATAAACTCTAAACCCTGAACCCTTAAACTTATCGGATCGGGTCGTGATAAAGATTGATATCAAAACAAAAAGATTTTAATGTGATGTTCAATATGAAAGAGCCAATAGGATAATCTTATAGGTTAGAGTACGTATAGGATGTATGTGTTATATACTACTTGAATTGTTTCGTTGCATTATGTCTCAGGGCCATGGATACTCAAATTAATGCCACTGATGGCAATACTAGAGAGATTAGGAGGGAGCTGCTAGTAGTAGCAGAGCTGCATAGTAGTAGCATTAATGTTATTATGGACTCTTTTACACAGATGATGACAGCAATGACCCAAATGATTAAGAACACTCAGACCCAAGCTGATG